ACTGCAGATAACAGTCAGCTGAAGAGGCCTGCAGTACTGCACCCTAACCACTGCGCCACCTCGGCTCTTCTTTGCAGCATCCTGCAGTCACATGACGAGTGACATTTCTTGCCAAAAACTGGCATTCATTTCAAGTTTTCGCCAGAAACGCCCCATTGGCAAACAATGGATTCACTTAACAACCATCAATCCACTTCACAGTCATCATGGTTTGCTTAATGACTGCTACCAAAAAAAAATCGTAAAATCGCATCAGTCACACGATGGCCTGCTTCAGGACTGTCACAATTTATGACTGCAATGGGCAGGCTCCATTATGGCCATAAGTGGAGGATTATCTGTAAAAAGCAGAATTGGGGACCATTTTAACTAAAGGAAGGAGCTGAAGCAAGACACTTGGGGACAAACACGTGTTTGCAAATGGCAGCATTGTGGTGGGAAAATAACAAAGAAAACAGAGTGGTTATGTGTGAAGCATAAAAAGTAGGAATTAATTCAGAAGTGTTTCTGTTCAGCTGCCGGTTTGGGTACGATGGAAGTTTGTTGGATTAGATTATTTCATTAAAAAATATGGATAGAGAAAGTATATATGGTAAAGCCCATAATTCCCAGGCAGCAGGGAATCATGGGAATCGGGCATTCCCGGAAAGGATCTGGCAAGCATCAAACAATGGACTGAAGAAGGGGAGGGAAAGGATGACCCAGTGAGCAGGATACCGAAGAACAATTAAGGTAAAAGATTTTATTTTAAAGGTTGAAGTGCAAAAATACAGGGCAAACTTTAAAACGGAAAGCGACTTTTCAGTCCCCCGTCGTTGGCACGAGGCTCCATTCAAAGCACAGACCGCAGAAGTACTTTAAACACGGGCAGCTGGCGGGTTCTTCTCCTTCTTCCTGGCAATTAGGCCGTTCATTTCTCCTCTCGTCTTTTAGATCCATCTCTGCTCACCTTCCGAGCAGGGCGGTGGGGAGAGGGAAGAAGAGGTCAACCAATGAAGCTCTTTGGAAATCCCAGGAAGAGGCCAGGCTGCGACTCGCAATCCGTGGAATGTTGAGGACTGGTGTGTGTAAATTTGGTTGTCCCCCTCCTCCAAAGCAGTCACGGGGTCGCTCCCCTGCAGCTCTGGGGCCCCCCAAAAGGCGCCTCTTCATCCAGGACAGCTCGGGGAAGGGAACTAACCCAAACCCTGATCGATGCCACGGATCCGGCGAGCCAACTGGATGTCTCTTGGATGGAGGGTGACCCGTTTAGCATGGAGGGTGCACAGGTAGGCGTCTTCCATGAGATGCACCAAAAAGGCTTCAGCTGCCTTGGGAGGGAGAAACAGAAGAGACGTAAGAGACAGAGAGAGAAAGGAAGAGGGGAAGAGAGAGAGAGAGAGGGCACACACATACGGTTAATTTGGGGGCCACCACCGCCCCCTTCCTGGCAGGGTACCATTTGTGCCCTCTCTCAAGCTGGCAGAAAGCTTGCCTAGCTTTACCTTTGCTGCCTCCATTACCAATCCATGCCCTGCCCCTGGGGTCGTATGATGTTCCTCCAAAATAACAGGCAGGGTCATACAAAGCCCTTGGCACCCAAATTGCCCTGGGCAGAGAATGGCCAGTTTCAGGTGGTTTGTGCTCAATGACAACTCGTAAAGTTGTCATGGTGAGGGAATGGGGGAAGGAGAGCATTCCACGCATACTTTCAGCTAGAGTCGGATCTCAGATGACTGCAGCAGGCTTGGGAGGGGTGCACCTCATTGGGGAATGTGATTTGTGACACAGACTGAGGGGAGGGGAGGAACAGGGGCAAAGTTCGGCTAAAATTCAAACAAAGCTCAAATCTGACTGCAAAATGGCCTTGCCTAATGGTGCTGCTAATAAATGACTAGTTTTGTACTGAAACTTGGCTTGATACTCATGAATCAATTAAGAGTATTTTTAGGAAACCTGACACTCAAACGGGTACAAAATATGACATAGATCCAGGAGGAGGAGTTTTGGGCAGAAGGGTTTGGGGAAAGGGGGAGGAGTGGAAGAGAGAGAGGGAAGGAGAGCAGGAAGGAGAGGGGGGGAGGAGGTTGTTGAGGGAAAAAAGAGAGGATAGAATGAGGATTTATATTAGATAAATATCTAAGATTGAACAGAGTGGAGTGGAGGCATGGCAT